ATGCCGCTTCGAAATCGGATGTCTGTAAGAAATGTTATAGGCCTGGAAGTGCTGGTTTTCGGCCACTTATTTACAAAGCCATTTTTCGAAAATTTTGTAAGGGGTAATATCATAAAAATGATGGAAAATTGACCCCAAAATACAAAGCAAGCTGAAAACACAGATTTTTAGCGGATTAAACCACAATCATTTAGAAGTATGCTGCTTTGAAATCGGATGTCTGTAAGAAAAGTTATAGGCCTGGAAGTGCAGGTTTTCGGCCACTTATTTACAAAGCCATTTTTCGAAAATTTGGTAAGGGGTAAAATCACAAAAATAATGGAATATCGACCCCAAAATACAAACCAAGCTGAAAACACAGATTTTTAGAGTATTAACCCACAATCATTTAGAAGAATGCCGCTTTGAAATCGGATGTCTGTAAGAAAAGTTATAGACCTGGAAGTGCAGGTTTGTGGCCACTTATTTACAAAGCCATTTTTCGAAAATTTTGTAAGGGGTAACATCACAAAAATGATGGAATATCGACCCCAAAATACAAACCAAGCTGAAAACACAGATTTTTAGAGTATTAACCCACAATCATTTAGAAGAATGCCGCTTTGAAATCGGATGTCTGTAAGAAAAGTTATAGGCCTGGAAGTCCAGGTTTTCGGCCACTTATTTACAAAGCCATTTTTCGAAAATTTGGTAAGGGGTAACATCACAAAAATGATGGAAAATCGACCCCAAAATACAAACCAAGCTGAAAAGACAGATTTTTAAGGGATTAAACCGCAATCATTTATAAGTATGCCGCTTCGAAATCGGATGTCTGTAAGAAAAGTTATAGGCCTGGAAGTGCAGGTATTCGGCCACTTATTTACAAAGCCATTTCTCGAAAGTTTGGTGAGGGGTAACATCACAAAAATGATGGAAAATCGACCCCAAAATACAAACCAAGCTGAAAACACAGATTTTTAGAGGATTAACCCACAATTATTTAGAAGAATGCAGCTTTGAAATCGGTTGTCTGTAAGAAAAGTTATAGGCCTGGAAGAGCAGGTTTTCGGCCACTTATTTACAAAGCACTTTTTCGAAAATTTGGTAAGGGTTAACATCACAAAAATGATGGAAAATCGACCCCAAAATACAAACCAAGCCGAAAACAAAGATTTTTAGAGGATTAAACCACAATCATTTAAAAGTATGCCGCTTTGAAATCGGATGTCTGTAAGAAAAGTTATAGGCCTGGAAGAGCAGGTTTTCGGCCACTTATTTACAAAGCACTTTTTCGAAAATTTGGTAAGGGGTAACATCACAAAAATGATGGAAAATCGACCCCAAAATACAAACCAAGCTGAAAAGACAGATTTTTAAGGGATTAAACCGCAATCATTTATAAGTATTCCGCTTCGAAATCGGATGTCTGTAAGAAAAGTTATAGGCCTGGAAGTGCAGGTATTCGGCCACTTATTTACAAAGCCATTTCTCGAAAATTTGGTAAGGGGTAACATCACAAAAATGATGGAAAATCGACCCCAAAATACAAACCAAGCTGAAAACACAGATTTTTAAAGCAATAACCCACAATCATTTAGAAGTATGCCGCTTTGAAATCGGATGTCTGTAAGAAAAGTTATAGGCCTGGAAGTGCAGGTTTTCGGCCACTTTTCTGCAAAGCCATTATTCGAAAATTTGGTAAGGGGTAACATCACACAAATGATGGAAAATCGACCCCAAAATACAAACCAAGCTGAAAAGACAGATTTTTAAGGGATTAAACCGCAATCATTTATAAGTATTCCGCTTCGAAATCGGATGTCTGTAAGAAAAGTTATAGGCCTGGAAGTGCAGGTATTCGGCCACTTATTTACAAAGCCATTTCTCGAAAGTTTGGTAAGGGGTAACAGCATCAAAATGATGGAAAATCGACCCCTAAATACAAACCAAGCTGAAAACACAGATTTTTAAAGCAATAACCCACAATCATTTAGAAGTATGCCGCTTTGAAATCGGATGTCTGTAAGAAAAGTTATAGGCCTGGAAGTGCAGGTTATCGGCCACTTTTCTGCAAAGCCATTATTCGAAAATTTGGTAAGGGGTAACTTCACACAAATGATGGAAAATAGACCCCAAAATACAAACCAAGCTGAAAACAAAGATTTTTAAAGGATTAAACCGCAATCATTTATAAGTATGCCGCTTCGAAATCGGATGTCTGTAAGAAAAGTTATAGGCCTGGAAGTGCAGGTATTCGGCCACTTATTTACAAAGCCATTTCTCGAAAGTTTGGTAAGTGGTAACATCACCAAAATGATGGAAAATCGACCCCAAAATACAAACCAAGCTGAAAACACAGATTTTTAGAGGATTAAACCACAATCATTTAGAAGAATGCCGCTTTGAAATCGGATGTCTGTAAGAAAAGTTATAGGCCTGGAAGTGCAGGTTTTCGGCCACTTATTTACAAAGCCATTTTTCGAAAATTTGGTAAGGGGTAACATCACAAAAATGATGGAAAATCGACCCCAAAATACAAACCAAGCTGAAAACAAAGATTTTTAAAGGATTAAACCGCAATCATTTATAAGTATGCCGCTTTAAAATCGGATGTCTGTAAGAAAAGTTATTGGCCTGGAAGTGCAAGTTTTCGGCCACTTATTTACAAAGCCATTTTTCGAAAATTTGGTAAGGGGTAAACTCAAAAAAATGATGGAAAATCGACCCCAAAATACAAACCAAGCTGAAAACAAAGATTTTTAGAGGATTAAACCACAATCATTTAGAAGTATGCCGCTTTGAAATCGGATGTCTGTAAGAAAAGTTATAGGCCTGAAGGAGGTGTTGGTTTTGCCACTTTTCTGCAAAGCCATTATTCGAAAAGCCATTATTCGAAAAACACAGATTTTTAGAGGATTAAACCACAATCATTTAGAAGTATGCCGCTTTGAAATCGGATGTCTGTAAGAAAAGTTATAGGCCTGGAAGTGCAGGTTTTCGGCCACTTATTTACAAAGCCATTTTTCGAAAATTTGGTAAGGGGTAACATCACAAAAATGATGGAATATCGACCCCAAAATACAAATCAAGCTGAAAACACAGATTTTTAGCGGATTAAACCACAATCATTTAGAAGTATGCTGCTTTGAAATCGGATGTCTGTAAGAAAAGTTATAGGCCTGGATGTGCAGGTTTTCGGCCACTTATTTACAAAGCCATTTTTCGAAAATTTGGTAAGGGGTAACATCATCAAAATGATGGGAAATCGACCCCAAAATACAAACCAAATGAAAACACAGATTTTTAGAGGATTAACCCACAATTATTTAGAAGTATGCCGCTTTGAAATCGGATGTCTGTAAGAAAAGTTATAGGCCTGGAAGTCCAGGTTTTCGTCCACTTATTTACAAAGCCATTTTTCGAAAATTTGGTAAGGGGTAACATCACAAAAATGATGGAAAATCGACCCCAAAATACAAACCAAGCTGAAAACACAGATTTTTAGAGGATTAAACGGCAATCTTTTATAAGTATGCCGCTTTCAAATCGGATGTCTGTAAGAAAAGTTATAGGCTTGGAAGATCAGGTTTTCGGTCACTTTTCTGCAAAGCCATTTTTCGAAAATTTGGTAAGGGGTAACAACATAGAAATGATTAAAAATCCATACAATACGATTCTAGAGTATTAACCCACAATCATTTAGAGGTATGCCACTTTGCAATCGGTTGTCTGTTAGAAAAGTTATGGGCTTAGAAGGTAGATTTTAGGTCACATTGCAACGACTAAATAAAAACTAAGTTGAAATCATTGATTTTTTCGCCAATTACGCCATCGCTTCTCCTCTAAACACCTTAATTTGTATTAAGGAAATGCTTATCTTTAAGCGTCATAAGTTATTTTTTAGGTAATATGAAATGTTATTGGTAATTTTCATAAATGTGATAATATCATGACAATGCATCTAAATATCGAATATAGAAGAATAATTTTTACCGACGTAAGAACATTAACATAAATGTACAACAACAAGCTCTACCGAATTTTTTTTCATTAAAAAAAAATAAATTAAGGATTACTCTATGACCGAACTTTAATTAGCAATGTTATGCCTAAAGATATGTTTCGATGACCTGATTTGTGCCAAAGGTCTGCTCAGTGCAAACTTTATCGCTGTTTTTCCCTTGCACCTTGATGCTTCTCTATGCTCTGTGCCATTGAACTTGCAAGGCAGTCAACAGATCATTAACTCTATTATCTTACACGTGCTGATATTTCTTTGTTTTGATTTTGACTAAGAAGGCCGCCGAGAAATGTCGAGGGGGGTGGGCTAAGAGAATTGCGAAGTCACCGAACCCGAATTTGTGGCGAACTCTGCCAACTGATTCCCAATTTCAGGCGGGGATGATTTGGGCTTACCGGCAATAGACTGAGCTAATTACTAGGCCTTAACACAGTTCAGTGACTAGTTGGCCAATCGACCTACACCATCGAGATGGTCACATTTCCGAATCAGGCGGACAAGACTAAGACGATGCATGGGCGTAGGCATGTGACATGTGCATTTGCCACCACACAGGTCTAAAAATAACGTGCTAAGCCCTTGGTGGAAGTGTTTTATAGCGAAAACCCAGAAACGACACTTGCTGAGAACTTGGGTATATTGCACATGTGGAGATGTAAAAATATTTGTGTACTGCTAATAATCAGCGAACGTATGACTGCTCATCCATAAAACAATCGATACTTTAAAATATATATATAAATTTTTTTTGTATTATTTGTCCCTCACTGGTTTAAAGTTTATAATCTGCGGGGTATAAATTCTTCGACTAGCACAAGTTTATAAGCCTTCATGCTTTCCCTGGCTGGCTCCGCGCTCTTTATTGCTCTCTTCCAACTGCTCGCTCTCTTGCGCTTGCGTTGTTTGAATTAGTATTTTTGTTTCAATTTCGAATTCGAATTTGCCTCTCCACTTGAGTTCTCCGACTGGTTGAATCAGTCTTTTCTCGTAGCTGCAGCGTATTGGATACATCCGTCGGCTGGCAACCGTCTGCTGCTAGATTGGCGCTCCGAGTGGCGCGTATCTACCGATCTGTACTAATTGTCTTTTGGCTCGGATAGTCAGTTGTCTTATGATTAAATAATAGTGTCGGAACTAACCCAACCGCTTAGCAAACGGTAGTATCTAGAGAAAACAACAGGGTCGCAAAAGCGCTGCAGCAAGTGTTTTGGAGCAAGCGAGAGGCAGTCTAACAACAGAATACAAATACCTCAATATTTTCCAATCGCGTTCGCGTAACACAAAAAATAATAGGTGAAGCAACAACAATTCAAAATATTACGAAAATACGCCAGGAAAAAAAAAAGAGATAAATTTCGATGCACTAAAGCGAAGAAAGTATCTTCTGTTTATTTATGTTGAACGTGTGAGTGGGGGGTACAAACAGCTGTTGGGGCAACAAAAGTATCAACCACATAAAAATCTTTTAGTGTTGAATACATTTCGACAGCAGCCACAAGCGACGACAATACTGAAATTCTCTCATCCTATCTCTCATTTGCTGTTCTCAAAAATCGTCGATTTTTTATTCTCCCACTGGAATTAAGGTGAGTTAATTTGTTTAATAGCACACGTGTTTATTAAATGATTATGGCGAAAGTGACGTTTTTCTTTAGCAAACCTTTGTCTGTCATCGCAGACTGATAACATAGAGTTGGGCAATGCACTTGCAAGATTTCAGCAAAAGTTCAATGCATGACAGCTTGAACAAAAACAAGATAGCCTTTAAAATTATGGCAATGAGTGTTTTTTGAGGAAAATATATGTTCTGATAATTTATGCAACAGGTACTGAGCAAAATATTTAAATCACTTTCCTAAGCCACTTAGTTTTTTTTCATCTAGATTCAAACTAATTCTCCAGTTCGAACTTAACATTTAATTTCAATTTACTTTTACTTTCATTTCATTCAAATCCAAAAGATTATAGGTACATATTCGCAATTCAGCCATAGAACATTAGTGCACCAGCTTCGCAACAACAACGGCAAGGTCTGGGAAAAATCAATAAAAACGCACGACTGGCGGCCCCAAAGCTTTTCTCCCTCGTCTGCATCGCACTAGGAGGCTAGAAAAGTCCGGCAGCAAATCGGACAACTCCTTAAGCGGTTCGAACGTGGTTCTAATTGAGAATCAAAAGGGACAAGGCTGGGCCAAGTTAAGGATGGTCTGCTTAAAAATGGTACTGATAAAGTGCAGTCAAAGGTGGTGGTTGATACCCGTGGATTTTCTCCCCCTTTTACTTCCTTTGTTGTTGTCCTGCCAGAGTCATTGCCATCAAGCGAAAAGGAAAATCAGCAGCGAATTCAGAAGGGCAGGCTTTCAACCTTTAGTTGTCAACGAACAAAAACCATCGCAATAGTTGAAGAGAAAAGGGTACCCGCGCAGGCGCAAGCATCTCTTCAACTCTCTTTTTATCTACAGCTTGTTTCAACCAAAATTCAAGCCCCATTCCGTTGTTATTGTTATTATTGTCACTGGTCTATTGTTAATGCTACATTTTTGGCAACGAACTGTGTCACTTGTATGTATATCTGTATCTGAGAATTTGGTTGCACTATACGAAGCCAGCGTAACCAGCTTCTCTACCAATGCATTTTTCCTTGAGCCGCACTAAAGAGGCAACTGAAAAACGTCGTGAAAAACGAGTTTCTCATTTGAAAGAACTGCATTTGCAATGGTGACAAAACTGAACTTAAGTTTTGGACTAAGTTCTGAAGACCTGAAGAGTATATACCTAAGAACTGTGTCACAAAATCGTGCCACCTCAACTGAAGGGTACCCGTAATACTCCAAGAAATATATCCTCCCCCTCCAATCTCTGATTTAAATGGGTCACTTAGAAATAATGTTCTTGACCAACATCTGGGGCGGATGCTTTCGTCATAGAGAGAAAAAGAAACTACATTGAAAAAAACTTGCACAATTCCCAAGTTGAATTTGAAGAAGTTAGCAGGGGAAGTCAACGGAGCGTTATCAGTTTCACATGGACCAAAAATATAAAAATTATTCTGTAATTTTACACGATGTTCCCCTCAATTAGCCAACGCCAATATGTTGGATGTTTATTGTCGTTGATATCGCCGCTTGCTTACGATGGTGTTCTGTGTTTGTCGCCCATTGTTTACTCGCCACCACTCCCTTCCCGTCTTCAGTACTAAGTGCAATGAACCCCCATCGCAATCATCCAGGGAATTAAGTGAAAAGTTTTTAATCGTTCTCGAGTTGTAAATACAATTTGCAGCTAGGGCAAAGTCAACGAGAATAGGTTTTCCAGAGCTGATAGAATTTTTGCAAATTGTGCTAGTGGGACCAGCAATGAGCAGATTTGCTATTCAAAGCAAGCAGCATTACCCCCATTTTTATCCACTCTGGGAAAAGGATGCTTGTGAATGGTACTGCATAGAGCCTCTTCAGATAATTACTTTTCCAGGCGGCGCTATAATAAATTAGGTAAAACCAAAAATTGAGAAAGGGAACCCTCGTTATCTTCCTGTTATGCCTGACACAACTTAGTTGGTCTTCTGCCCCATCTGTATTTCCCAACTATGAATGCTGGGAAAACTCTTTTGATTGAAGGAGATGCTTGTAGCAAGTCTTGGGCCTCCGGCAAATCCACATTAAATCGCACTTACATATGTTATGTTTATTTTTGGTTTCATGAGGCCTCACACTGGGCCATTCGCTGAATGCATTCGCTTTAAAAGCTACACACGGCCAAAGTTTAAAAGTAATATCAATTTGGGTTTAGAGCCTCCGAAAACAAGGGAAAGATTTTCGATCGGAATAGATTTCAAAACCTCACAGCCATTAGATTAATCACCCGCATTTTTTTGCATCCGTGACCCCCAACTAATTTAATTGATACAGGAACTTTTCACAATAACAGCGTTTGTCTTGACGTCACAGTGCCAATGCCAGTGAAAGGCATTCGGCACGCGCTAAGCAAACAGTGCGAAATAAATGGCTAAATGGCCGCTACTAGAGATCGGACCGGCTAAAAACGGGTACTACAGACGCTTCCTCATAGGAACCTGTAACAGCCGGCGAATTTAAGCTGCTGGGGACACAACGTCACAGTCACGTTCTGGCTTATTGATGATTAAATAATACAGCTTGGCTGAGCGTGAAAATATCTAAAAAGCGAGACAAAATCAGGCTGCGACCGGTTCATTTCAATAAAATGTTAACGAATACAAATGGTTTATTGCATTAGTTTAATAACTTAACGGAATTGAGTGCCATGTGGGGGAATCCGCCTGAAACTTGAGCTGTTGTGTTTTAGATTTAACCTCGCGAGTTGTGCCTTTGCAACATTGCTATCGTAGCTTGGTGAGCACCCATTTCTGATCTGCTCTTCTTACTTATATATTACCAGCAATAGAAAAATAGTTAAATACATTATTTTGAATATTAATAAAGAAGGTTAGAAATCAGCGGTAATTACCAAAGGCTATCGGTTTTATGTAGAATATTTATACCCTTGCAGAGGGTATTATAATTTTGGTCAAAAGTGTGCAACGCAGTGAAGGAGACATCTCCGACCCTATAAAGTATATATATTCTTGATCAGGATCACCTCCTGAGTTGATATAGCCATGTCCGTCTGTCCGTCTGTCCGTCTGTCCGTCTGTCCGTCTGTCCGTCTGTCTGTCCGTCTGTCTGTCCGTCTGTCTGTTTCTACGCGAACTAGTCTCTCAGTTTTAAAGATATCGAATTGAAACTTTGCACACACCCTTCTTTCCTTTGCACGCAGTATATAAGTCGGAACGGCCGGGATCGGCCGACTATATCCTATAGCTGCCATATAACTGAACGATCGGAAATGCCATAACTTTGGTGTTTGTAAAGTTAGGAAGTTGGGATTTTCTATGGGTTTTGAATTTGGCTAATCAATCCGACATGCCGAATTTCATAAGGATCGGCCGACTATATCCTATAGCTGCCATATAACTGATTGATCGGAAATGCCATAACTTTGGTGTTTGTAAAGTTAGAATGTTGGGATTTTCTATGGGTTTTATATTTGGCTAATCAATCCGACATGCCGAATTTCATAAGGATCGGCCGACTATATCCTATAGCTGCCATATAACTGAACGATTGGAAATGTCATAACTTTGGTGTTGTTAAAGTTAGGAAGTTGGGATTTTTTATGAGTATTAAGAATGCATCATTTGAATAATTTTGGAGAATATAATTTACAGAGTATTCTGCAAGGGTATATCAACTTCGGCTCCGCCCGAAGTTAGCTTTCCTTTCTTGTTTTATAATGAAAACATTTAATCAGTTGGCGCTAATAACAATGGATTACAAATTTCAATCGACAGTTTGACTAGAAATAGAACCACACGAATTACCTAACTAAGCACATTAGTTTTTATTGCAAAGTAAAGGGGTTAACTATAAGTCGGAAAATTAAATTTAGCTAATTTGGGTGGCCACAACTCGAGATATAAAATAAAACACGAACATACAAACGAAAATTGAAGTAATGTGAAAATTTGAGGAACACAACGGAATACTAATTGACAAAACAACAGTTCCCTGACCTCTATTTCGCAGTAACTATTAGTTCAGGAATTCAAGTGCTTTGACATCAGCATTAATCGTTGACTTTCCTAACGGCACTCTTAGTGCTACATGTCACGAAAGAGAAATACAAAAATTGCAGATTATGCTAATGGCTCATTAAGCCTTAACGTCAATGCAAAAACAAAAAAACAAATTCTCACTCCACAGGTATTGACTTTAAGGGAGCGCAATATTACAGCCACAATTCAAACTATGCCTCTCAAAATGAGTCACAGAAAAAAAGTCAGAGAGTTTTAAAGGCGCCCACATGCCTGTTGACGTGTGAACTATGTTAATTGGCAAACATTTATGGCATAATTGTCTTGCGATTGCCGCCACTTATTAAATAACCGTTTAGTCAACACGCGCTTTTGTGAAATGAAAGTGAAAATCAGCAAAATGTAAAAGAAGGGTGGAGATCTACAACAAAGATAATAACCCAATATGGAGAGAAAGCAAAATTTTAGAAAATGGAGCTCAATTAGATAAAATAAAGATGTACCCATCATGCAAAATAAAAGTCACTGCCCAAGATTCCAGCCCTACCATCCAATTACTTTCCAGACTTAAATAAAATCACTCCTTTACACTACAGCCAAGAAAGAACAAAGCCAAGAGGGAAAGCGAGTTAACAAAGACAGTAACACCAAAATAAAAATAGTAATGCGAATGCGAATCGTTAAAAGTTCAAACGCCCCGGGCAAAAAGTTAACTGTCCCCAGAAGCTGTCCCCAGAAGCACTAAAAATAAAAGCGTCCAAAATACTAATTCAGCTTCAGGAATTACTATAATAATGGCTGTAAAGCTGCTGAGCGATAGTTATCTTCAAATAGTCCTTATAGACCAGATGTGCCCAGCCGTTCAGTCTTTTTTTAGAAAAGGAAAAATGCATGTGTCACGCATATGTGTATGATCGATAAACTTTTGTGTGTGTTCATACGGCACTCTCGTCTAACAAATTAGAAACGCGTGCT